AGATGGGGTCTTGCTCTTGCTCAGGGTGGTCTCAAACCCTTGAGCTGAGGCAATCCACCTGTCTTGGCTCCCAGAGTGGTAGGATTACAGACGTGAGCTACCATGTCCAACTAATTTTTCTAGTTTTTGTAGAGAAAGGCTCTTGCTCAGGGTGGTCACAAGCTCCTGGCCTTAGGCGGTCCTGCCATCTCAGCTTCCCAAAGCGCTAGGATTAAAGGTGTGAGCTACCGCACCCAGCTTCATTTGCTATTTCATTTGAGCCTCATGTTAACCTTACAAGGGAGCAGAATTGAGGTACACTAAGGTTAAGAAATCTAGCCAAGGCCACACAGCTAGTAAGTGGTAGAGCCAGGATTTCAGTGGTGTTTTTTCCTGTAGGTGGTGGTCTTGCCCCTGGCCCCGGAGCCCTGGCTGCTGCCTCCGCGTGTGCACCGGGCATCTCTTCCACGCAGGGTGCAACACTCTTAAGCTTTTGGTGGAGAGACAGACATAAAGAAAATCCACTTTGAGCAGACAAGCTGTAGATACAAATAACACAAATGATAGTAAGAAACTAGCAGGAAAGAGAGGTTAGATAATGGGAGGGTCATGAGCAGAGAAAGGAAGGCTCGGGGTGGAGCAGGGAGGGCTCTGAGGAGGCGGTGGCTCCAGAACCGCTCTGCGTGATGGTGGCATCTGCAGAAACCAGCTTATGGTGAGGAATGTCTCTTTTAGGAACCTACTACTAACACAGAGGACAATGATAAGTACCCTGAAGATTCTCCAAATACAACAAGCCCAGGTAAGGACTGGATATTTTGTATTCCTATGGGCTGAGGGACTCAAGGTCCAAGGATTATTTGGACAGATTGGCAGAGGACCAATGACAGAAATGTTCTTTTATTCCTTTGTATGTTAAAGTTGGAGGATGTTTGTTGAGGTTAGCTAAGATATAGTCAAGAGATAATAAGAACAGTGGGACAAATCAGTGAAATACCTCACAATCAGCCCACAATGCAAGTAAATGTGCTACAAACTAAATCAGCCAAGTCTGATGTGGAATACCTGCTGAGGAACCTTTGTTTGGGGAGCCTTTGATTTCAAAGCTTCTGATTCCCCTACCTGCAAGACCCGAAAACTTAGCTATATTTGAATCAAGAATAATCCCAAGTCCTGCTACATATTGGGGACTCATGGAGCCCAGACTCCAGAGGTCCAGTATTTCAGCAGCTCCATCTGACAGTTCTTGGGCTTTGTGAGGAAGTCCTTGGCCTTCCCCTTCCCTGGGCAGGTCTGAACCCTCCCAAGTTCAAAGCCCTGCAAATGCAGAGCACCTATGCAGTGCCTGCTGAAACCTGGGGCTGAGCTCTGCCCAGCAGGGGCCCAGAGGACAGAAGCCAGCCCTGCTCTCAAGGAGGCTGCAGTCTAGTGGAGAGGCCTGGCAGAGGAAACCAGTGACTGACACAAAGCTGGGTGTGGGGGGTCCAAAAGGAAGCACAGAAAAAGCAAAAGGAATCCTGGAGAAGGTGCCATTTGAAATAGGCCTTGAATGGTATCTACTGGATGGCAGGGGCTGCTGTGGAGGGGAGAGGGGAACTCTCCACCCACCTCACTGGCCATCTTATCCAGCTCCTTATCTATGGGCTGATAACTCCTGAATCTCTATCTTCACCCCAACTGCTCCACTAGGACCTAGACTCCTGTGTCCATCTACTTGGTTGACATATGGGATACCTACTAGAGGCCTCCGACTTAACATGTCTAAAAAAGACTGCCGATGCCTCCCCACCCCTCCAACTCACATCTGTTCTTCTCCATCTCTGGTCCCACACTCACTGGGCTGCTCAGGGATGGGGCAATCAGGCCTGCTTCCTCCCCTCCTTCACCCTATAGCTGGCTCCTCAGCAGGCACTCTAAATATTTGTTAAATGAAGGAGGAATAAATTTTTTTTTTTTGAGACAGAGTCTCACTTTGTCATCCTCAGTAGAGTATAGTGACATCATAGCTCACAGCAACCTCAAACTCTTGTGCTCAAGTGATCCTCTTGCCTCAGCCTCCCCAGGAGCTGGGACTACAGGCGCCCACCACAATACCTGGCTATTTTTTTAGAGACAGGGTCTCCTGCTTGCTCAGGCTAGTCTCGAACTCCTGAGCTCAGGTAAACTGCCCGCCTTGGCCGCCCAGAGTGTTGGGATTAAAGGTGTGAGCCACTGCGCCTGGCCTTAAGGAGGAACAAATGTAAAAGATTATCAAGTATTAATAAACACTCAAGCCAAACACACTGTTTTCATTACATAGCTGCTGCTGCCAAGAAACAGTGGGCATAGTTGGGGAGACCTGTTCTTGCATCCAGTGCTCCTGGGCTCATTGCCCAGTCCACCTTCTGTGGACGTCTGATGTGCTGACTGGCAGGAACCTCTTCATCCACAGTGGATGCCCTTTGGGGCAGAAGGGCCTGAGTCCTTGTCCATAGCAGCCCCAACTGAAGTAGGGAGTGATGGTTTTGCTTAGATGTGCCCTTGGTCCAGTCCAGGGCCTCGGTCAGTTGTAGGAAGGGCCTTCTCTGGGAGGACATGCTCCTGGTGGGGCTGTGCCTTCCTCTGTGCAGGAAGGTGCTGTGTGAGCTGCTCTGTGCCGGCAGCTGGCAGCATGGCAGTAGAAGGAGTACACTGGCCCCACTTTCAGGGGGGTCAGTCTAGAGGTGAAGAAGTAATCAGGTGGAGCCAATCAGGTGGAGTGGGGTCATTGCTCAAAAGAAGTGACATCATCTCATCTGAGACCCAAAGGCCATGTAGGGACTAGACGGCACCGGGGTGCAGCCAAGGTGGGAAGAGCATTCCAGGAGGAAAGAGAACATGGCAAGTGGGAGAACTGGGTGAAGTTCATGTGGCTGGGGCTTGAGCCAAGTAGGGGACAGGCAAGAGATGAAAACCCAATGGAGAAAACTGCTTCCAATACTTAATTCAAAGCATCTGAGTCTCTCTGGCATTGTCCTCAATGGAGCTGCCATCAAGCAGGTCCCCAAAGCCTTGTTTCTTATACCCACTCTGGGCCTTATGGGGGCAGGTGGAATGCAACGAGAGAAACCACTCTGAAAATGAGTGGGAGCCTGTGGCTGGCCACAGGAGCTCAGAAACTCTGAGCTTGAGGTGTGTCTCTTGCCAAGTGGTGAAGTCCTGGTGTCTGACAGATGATGCTGGGGGTGGTTCTTTTGAAGCTGGCTTTAGCCAGAAAACTGTAAAGCTTGTCAAGTGGCCTGCTGGTTAGCACAGCTGTTTCCTCTTCCAGGGGTGGGTAAGGTTCCTCTGAGGCTTCTGACAGCTCTAGCTAAGTGGGTTTCTCTTTCTCCTCCTGCTCCTTTTTTTTTTTTGAGACAGAGTCTCACTATGTCGCCCTCAGTAGAGTGCTGTTGTGTCACAGCTCACAGCAACCTCAAACTCTAGGGCTTAGGTGATTCTCTTGCCTCAGCCTCCCAAGTAGCTGGGACTACAGGTGCCCGCCACAATGCATGGCTATTTTTTGGTTGCAATTGTCATTGTTGTTTAGCAGGCCCAGGTGGGGCTTGAACCTGCCAGCCTTGGTGTATGTGGCTGGTACCCTACCATCTGAGCTATAGGCGCCAAGCCCTCCTGTTCCTTTCTCTTATTTTACTCCTATTCATTCTTTCTCCACTATTTTTTTTTTTTTTGACCTAGTGCAACAGCTTTCTTCAGAACCACTGCCCATGTTCCTGGTAGCTGGCGGAAGCCTGGCCTTCGGGGCACTCCTCTGCATTGGCATTGTCCTGAGGTGAGATGGGTCCTGGGGATGGCCCCGTGGTGTCCTCCTCTTTCCTCTGCCCATCAGTCATCAGAACTTTACAGAGTGTTCATCCTTCTGCACACCAACACTCACAGCACGACATACAGGGTATCTGCTATGAGACCAAGCCCTGTTTTGGGTGCTATCAGAGACAAGGATTATGGGACAGACACAGTCTGGGGGGAACCAGACACAAAGAGACCTGGTGAGCGCTGAGAGAGACACTGTGCTGAGGAGAAGGAGGAGTTAGTCTGATGAAGAGGAGAGAGAGGGTTCTAGGAGAGAAGCCTCATATGTGTCATGTTTGAGGGTGTGTGCATGTGCCAGTGTGTAGCAGTACAGGGGAGGGGACAGTGGGGAGGTAGATTGGAGCCAGGTCATGAAAGGCTTTGAAAGAGATTGGAAGGGTTTTAGGCCTTCTCTGGAGTGTGATGAGTACCCGTTGGAGGGTCCTAAGAAGAATGTGTTTAGGTTTGCAGTTTTAGGAGCTCATTCCCATGTATTTGGGAGGGCAGATGGGAGCAGGGAAATGGACAGTGTGTGGGCAAGAGACCATAGGAGCCTGCTCCAGAACCATGGTGGTGGGCCGGAGAGCCAGGAATGGATTGAGATATATTTCAGAACTAGAATGGCAGTTATTTGATGATGATAAATGAGGAGGAGTCACAGTGACCCCCAGGTTTCTGTCTTCAGCACCTGGGCAGGTGGTGGTGTCACTCACAGAGCAGAAATGCGGAGAGAAGACAAGTCTGGGTGGAAAACGACCTTGTACTTTGGGGCCTTCTGTGTTTGAGGTGCCCATGAGAATCTCGAGTGGACATGTTTGGTAGACAATTCAGTGGCATGTAGATAGTCATTAGAGGTAGACAATTCAGTGGCATGTAGATAGTCATTAGAGCCATGGGAGAGGTGGGATGGGGTGGGTGACAGGGCCTTGTGAAGACCCAATACTGGAAGTTGGGGAGGAGCAGGACCAGGGGACCCTGTGCTATGACAACCACAGGGAAAAGTACCATAGGCTCTGGGGCTACAAAATGAATTTGGCTTTTCTTCCTTCCCAAGAGTCACATACTAGAATGATTAAAAGACCATGTGAGAAGCCCCACAACAGAGGTATGTACTTACAGAGCTAAACCCCAGGTGTTTGGCAAGACCTCCTTGGGAATAGTCTATGTCTCAACCCATGTAGAACTGAAAGTCTGACCTTTAAATGCTCTGTCCTGGTTCTATCTTCCAGCGGTGGTTAGGAAATACTCTTTCAGGCTGGGTCAGCCACTGGCCACTCATTGTGTCCATTTCATTCTAATCTCCTCTCCCCATTTGGTCCCATCTGTCCACCACTGGCCCTTAACAAGCAGTGCCATCTTGCTGTGCGATTAACCACTCATGGAGAAGCATTAGGTGCAGACAGATCTAGTTCACTAATCTGCTGATGATGCTTGGACACTGGCTGGTTGCTAAACAACCACAGTCCCTATGGGCACACACAGGGCAGGTGCCCCGTACTGAGGACGTATTAGTAATTTATTTCCTAGCTTGGTGAGTTTCCATTGTCTATATAAGGCACATTTATTTGGAAAGAGGCCAGTTGTTTCAAGTGATGAAAAACTCCTCTACTCCCCAAATCCCTCTGCCAAAGAAAGAGTATAAATGTAGAGATACTGTGGGGAGCTGGGAGTACTCAAGTGGCTGAACCATGGTGACCACTGGGGTGGCCATATTTACAGTAGGCTCAATGTGAGAGACAGGTAGACATTCGTCCTGCCAGTCCATGGTACCGTATTTTTACTTTTGCTATATTTATTTTATATATTGTCCCAAATATAGTATTTTCTTAAATATTTTTCCTGAAATATCAGTGATCATTTTTAAATATTTAAATTTGCTGTTGAAAAAGGTTGTGCTGGCTCGGCGCCTGTGGCTCAAGCGGCTAAGGCGCCAGCCACATACACCTAAGGTGGCGGGTTCGAATCCCCAGTCCGGGCCCACCAAACAACAATGATGGCTGCAACCAAAAAATGGCCAGGCATTGTGGTGGGCGCCTGTAGTCCCAGCTACTTGGGAGGCTGAGGCAGGAGACTCGCTTGAGCCCAGGAGTTGGAGGTTGCTGTGAGTGTGATGCCACGGCACTCTACCCAGGGGGACAGCTTGAGGCTCTGTCTCAAAAAAAAGAAAGAAAAAGGTTGTGCCATTTTGTGAAGTGGGTGTTATGACTTATAGGGGCCAAGTCTTTCTACCCTAGTCTCTGGCCCCACCAGTTCTCTCTCTTTATTATTTATTTAATTTTTTTTTTTTAAGATAGAGCCTCAAGCTGTCACCCTGGGTAGAGTGCTATGGCATCACAGCTCACAGCAACCTCCAACTCTTGGGCTCAAGTGATTATCCTGCCTCTGCCTCCCAAGTAGCTGGGACTACAAGCGCCCACCACAAGGCCCAACCATTTTTTGGTTGCAGGCACCATTGTTGTTTGGCGGGCCCAGGCTGGATTCGAACCCACCAGCTCAGGCCTATGTGGCTGGTGCCTTGGCTGCTTGAGCCACAGGAGCTGAGCCTTATTTATTTAATCTCTTTTTTTTGAGACAGTCTCACTATGTTGCCCTGGGTAGAGTGCTGTGGCATCACATCTCATAGCAATCTCAAACTCTTGGGCCTAAGCGATTCTCTTGCCTCAGCCTCTCTAGTACCTGGGACTATAGACACCCACCAAAATGCCTGGCTATTTTTTGTTGCATTTGTTGTTGTTTAGCTGGCCCAGGCCAGGTTCAAACCCGCCAGTCTCATGTATGTGGCTGATGCCATAACCACTGTGCTATGGGTGCTGAGCCTATTTGTTTATTTTTTTTGAGACAAGAGTCTCACTATGTCACCCTTGGTAGAGTATTGTGACAACACAACTCACAGCAACCTCGAACTCTTAGGCTTAAGCGATTCTCTTGTCTCCAGCCTCCCAAGTAGCTGGAACTACAGGCACCCGCCATAACACCAGGCTATTTTTTGGTTGTAGTTGTTATTTAGCTGGCCTAAGCTGGGTTTGAACCTGCCAGCCTGGGTATATGTGGCTGGCACCCTACCCACTGAGCTATGGGCACTGCCTCTCTCTTTATTTTATGCTGTCGGGCACTGGGAAGTTAGGAGTTTTCTAGTGGAGAATTATTTTTCTACGTAATTACCTAGAATATGCATAATTGTCATTAAGTGTATGCTTATGGTTTAAAAATCACTTTGTATTGAATGTAGTGTCTCATTCCAATATATATATATGTATATTTTTGAGACAGAGCCTCAAGCTGTTGCCCTCAGTAGAGTGCCATGGCAGCATAGCTCACAGCAACCTCCAACTCCTGGGCTTAAGCAATTCTCTTGCCTCAGCCTCCCAAGTAGCTGGGACTACAGGTCCCACAGGCTCACCACAAGGCCCGGCCATTTGTTGTTTGTAGTTGTCATTGTTGTTTGGCAGGCCCAGGCTGTATTCGAACCTGCCAATTCTGGTGTATGTGGTTGGCGCCTTAGCTGCTTAAGCTACAGGTACTGAGCCTCCAATATTTTAAAATAAAAGATTCTTCTACCTCCACAGTGGGAGGTGGAGGACTTTCATGATGTCTGGGCTGGTGAAAGTGGCCTGTACAATGGCTACTTTGTGTGGCTTTGAGAGTAGAGACCCTTGGTTTCTACATGCTTTTTTATAAGAGTGAGAATTATGAGTATTTTAAAAAACCTCTTTTAGGTACAGAACCTTGTCTTTAAACAAAAATTTTGGAACCCCACATATGTAAAATAGATAAAAGGTGGAGGTTAAGGTGCAAACAAAGTCTGCAGGCTGGCTGTTTCTTCTTGCTACCTGTGCCATGTCCTCTCCTGCCCTCAGCCCTGCTCACACTCACCAGACCTGGTGTGGCCATCCCAGCCTGGCTGGGCTCAAAGACCCTTTTGAGCTTGGTGATTTTCAGAAAAGTTTTCATTCTCTCTTTGAAACATTTCAAAAGGAAACTTCTGGTAACCTGTCTGGTTGCTTTGAAAAAACCGAGGACAGATATTGCTTTCATTTTGGTTAATAAGGTCAATAGGTACTATATAT